ACCCACACCGGCCCCTCGCGTGCGGCCGCCGCCGCTTTCCCTCGCTCGGGTTTGAACTACCCGCCCTCACCAACCGCTGCCTCCCCGCCCCCTCCGCGCTCAGCTCCGGCCGGGAGCCTGAGGAGACCGGGAGTGCCCAGCCCGCTCCCCGGGGACGTGAGGGAACACCGGCGAGGTTTGCCCCGCTCCTCACGCTTTATACTTCAGCCCCGCGGCCCCCGCCGCACCCAGTGCCCTGTTAAAGCTCCACTGAGTCGTTTCTGCCCCTGCCCTGCTTCTCCTGAGGCGCCCAGCGAGGGTGAGGTTTTCCCGCCTCTGCCAGAGCCCGCTCCGCTCCCTACGGCGGAGGGGAATGGGGGGCGGAGGCGCAGGGGCGCCGGCGCTGAGGGGTGCCTGAGGGGTGCCTGGGCATTCACAGTTAATAGTCCTTATCTGCAACACAGCCTTTAAGCTTTGGTTATAAGGGTGTTAGTTAATTTGAGTTAATTAGCACCTTTTTCCCCTTTCGCCTAGGACTAAAACAGTCACAGAGCGTTTGTCAAGTATATTGCCTTCAAAGCAGTCGGGTGGCGGATCCCCGACTCCAGCATCGCGCAGGTTGTCCTCGAGTCTCCCCAGGCACTTTTTTGCCCAGAGAATCCAAGAAGGACCATTCTCCCCGGCTACAGTGTACAGCACATTTTTTTCACATCTTGTCCTGTCGTGAATGGCCTAAGGGCTGTTCTGTTTAATTTGTTAAAAAGCTTGTAGTTATTCAGAGCCTGGCGCCTGGGTCTAATAAGAACCTTTTGCTTTTGGTTTAATAAGCAAACTCCCGGCTTAAGTAACGTAACCCCTATTCGTGGGGTTTGGCAACTTCTCAGCGTTCCCCTTTGGCAGCCAGCGGAAACGGAGATTTTTAGGGAAAGAATATCGGTTTACTTGACTACAAGGTAACAGTTATGGCTAAAAAGGGAAAAGCTCTTGAAGTACCTTCCTCTTCCTTTTTAAAAAGAGAAAACATTAGAAACTTATTTTTAAGGTAATAGAACTTTTCTGAAAGTGCTTTCTGTAGTCTGTTCCGCAGGAAAACAGAAACCGTGTTTTTCGCAGGAGCTGAATAAAATTGTTTTTCTAATATTTGCATTTATTTATAAAATACCTTCTCAGTAAAACTGGAAGCTTACTAGTGAGACATAGCAACCGCAAGTTCTGTCTCCGTCACTCAAACCTGGATGGATGCGGTCTGGATCAAAAATATCCAAGAAATTTAAGAAATCGTAATTGCGACATTTTATCCAATACACCGAAGTATCATACTAGAAAGTGGTTTTTAACAAAAAAAGTTCACCACCCAAAAATCCACCCCAACGAAAATCAAGCAAGCAAACAAAATATCAAACCAAAACAAAAAACTCCAACCAAAACCTGAGAACGCTGCTTCTAACAAGTGAAGGGACATTCTGCAACACTCGCACTGGGTTACGGCTGCATTTCCTTCCGCTGTCAAAAGTACCTGTACCCCTGTGCCTTCCCCATACCGACGCACAAGCCTTTCCTCCCATTTGCCTACCAGTTCCCCAAGAACTGTTTCGATTTACGGGACAGTAGGAGTCTCCCACACTCTCTGCTCCTCTAAATCCAAAGGAGCATCTTGAGGGCTAGAATTTACCTGCACATGGGAGTGGGACTTAGCAAAGTGCTTCTCTCGTAGGGGTGGATTTTATCGGAAACGGCTGAAGTAACCGAAGCTTTAAGATCTGGTAAAGCATCCCATTTTTCCAAGGGAATGTTTAAGGGATGCCAATAATCAAATAATTACATTATTCCTTTATTAATAATGGAGACATTATTTTCACAGGACTAACTGAATTTTTCATGGAGATATTTTTAGTAAGTCATTTTAAATTTGTCGGTTTGACAAACACGTTTTTAAATACTAATGAGCCTAGCGAAATAATACAAGGGGGGGGGGCGTGTGTGTGTGTATGTGTGTTTATTTGCTTTTTTAAAAGTCGGTAATTTCTTACCATGCGTTTACCAAGAAAGATAGTGCACAGGCTTTCTCGTCTGTTTCAACCTCTCGGTACCCACCCATACCGCAGCTCCGTAGCGGAGGAAAGGATGCAAGTAGTAACCTATAACAATACCTCTGCTTTTTACAAACAATTTTTCTTGTCCGTGGTTTATTCTGGCACTCCCTAAGTTATGTTTAGCTTTTCTTCTTACAGAGCAGTGTGAAGAAGCAAGTCTAAAGTCGTTACTGTGATTTCATTACGTTTAATTTAAACACAAAATTAGGAAAACGAAAACTATTATTACCCGAGATCATTTTATGTAAGTTACAAGTCATATATGAAGGTGATTTGCTGGTAGGAGATCAATGGATTACAACTGATTAAACCTAATCCGTATTAATTTGGATGCTTAGGAAACAATTTTTATTCAGTATTCAGACACAGAAGGAGACCTTTCCTTGAACTAGGGAACCTTTGAATGATCTAGTAATATAAATTGGCATATTCACAAAACATAGTATTCGTTAAACATTGGGGAGGAGGAGGGGAGAAATAAAGCAAAGATACCTAGTTCTACAAACTCTCAGTCTAAGGTTCAAAATTCCTACCGCCAGCAAGGTGGAGCCAATGACAAAGAGCAACCGGTGTCGTTTCAAATCTTGCCTGCACTATTTTAGTTCAGTACATCGGGAAGCGCCGACATATGAACTTCTTTTATAATGGAACCATACACTTAAAATGTGCGAAATGTGTGTTTGTAGTATGTAAGTTTAGCTTCATGTGGGTACATATGATACCGACCACGGCATCAAAATATCCAGATGCCGGATTTATCCACGAATTATAGTAAAATGCTTCTGAAAACAAAGAGGACCTTGAGGTAAAACACCTCGGTGGTTTAAAACTCCACAGCTGTATGACCAGACCTGACGCGGGGCATTCTCTATCCCGAGTTTGTTGAGTACAGCTAAATAAAAGAATGAAAACACCGGGTGCTTGGGGCTTTTACCCAGCCATGCAGCTGCCTACTTTCTTCATTGACAGCTGGCACTGCTATTCCTATGGAAGCTCGCGTCTTAAAACAATCTATGTGGGGGTTTTTTTGGTTTTTTTTTTTCCCTCCAGGTGGTTTACACGCATACCTGAATATTTATTACTTTCTCAGGCTCATTACTATTGATGGCGCGGAGGCCGGAGCGGGCGGCGGGGGGAAGCAGGGC